AGACGGGTGATCACGTTTTGCCATACAAACTTCTTCACGTCCTTTTCCCTTATGGTCGCTAGTGGCTCGGCCTCAACCCACTTGGTAAAATAGTCGGTGGCGGCGATGAAGAACTTATGGTTGCCCGGTGCAGCTGGGAGTGGCCCAACAATATCCAACCCCCAAAGCGCGAACGGCCAAGGACTTGTGAGAGGGAGCAAATCTCTGGCTGACTGGTGGATCTGATGGGTGAACTTCTGACACTTCTCGCACCTACGAACATATTTTTGTGCATCTGCCTGCATGCGCGGCCACCAATAACCCTGAGAAATTGCTCGGTAAGCCCAGGATCTGCCCCCAGTATGGCTTCCACAGATGCCCTCATGTATCTCATAGAGGAAAGCCTCCACCTTGGTAGGGTGGACGCATTTCAAATATGGGCCGGTGAAAGATTTCTTGTACAAGGCCCCGGACGGGGAGAGCCAAAACCGCTCTGATTTTGCCCGGATCTTGTGTGCCGCCTTCTTTTCTTCTGGAAGAATCCTATCGTTCAGGAAGGCAATGATAGGATCCATCCACGAAGAGCCCAAGTCGGTGCAAAGTACCTTGGCTGATTCTGGTTCCTCAATGCTTGGCCTTGGCAAAATTCTATCATCAAGGGGTTAGGAAAAGCTGTCTGGGCAGAAACGAGTTCGGCTAATTCATCAGCTGTGCTGTTTTCCTCGAGGTCGATTTGTTCCAACCTTATTGCAACGAACTTCTTGATCTCTGCGCGTACCAGCGCCTGATACTTAGCCATTCTTTTGTCCTTTACTTCATACTCCCCTGAGACCTGATTGACCACCAACTTGGAATCACTAAATACCATAAGGGCTGTGGCTTTCATTCTCAGCGCGCTTCTTAGTCCGGTAAGGAGAGCTTCATACTCAGCCTCATTGTTAGATGCTGGGAAGTCGAGTGTAATTGCCTGCTCGATGATCAGCCCGTCCGGCGAGTTCAACACGATGCCCAGCCCGGCCCCATGTCTGTTGGACACCCCATCAACGAAGAGCTTCCACATCTCGCCAATAAACAACTTCCAGCAATCAGAGGGGTTCTGGGAGCTCCTCATTTCCAAGTCTTTGATCGGTTCATTCTGGTCCCGTTCCTTGTCTTGGTTGGGTTCATCATCGTCGGACTTTGTTAGTCTGGTCGTGCTCGTCCCTTTTCCTACTTGCGGACCAACATTCGTTTCTGTGGCCAAAACCATGGGTTGTGCTAAGTCCGCACTAACCAAATCAACGGGCATACTGGATGCATCCCCGGGGCAAATCCCG